AGAAAGAAAATAATGGAAATTAATAGAAGAGCTTCTCTTTCTCTATCGGTTTGTGAGAGAGAAAGACAAAAATTCATCCAAAGTTCGTTTTCATCGATCAACGACGACTTTCGCAGACAAATGTTATAAATCATGTTCTTTAATTCTTTCATTCGAGACTTCAACGAATAGCAATTTATTTTAATTTTCTCTTATACGTTATGTAGTACACTAAGTCCTTTAATATCCCACAGAAATTTAAGTTCCTCTGTACGATATTACAAAAGTTATCCGTTTTTAAATGTATCCGAATATTGATGAGTCACTATGTATCTTATGTATAACGGAAAGTGAGAAATATTATGTGGTTCGCTATTGTAAAGAAACGTTTGAATTATACGTACGGATTCGTTTATGTTGCTCACTAGATTATTGGTTTCAGGCAAGTGTTCTTCGGATAATACCGTGGATAATTGATTACCTATTCGTTGCATGTTCTCATAGATAAAAAACGTTTCCATATCTAATGAAAACAGCAACAGAAATGGAAATAATTAAAATAAATATGCAAGCACTAAATAAAAGATTTCAAATAATACGGTTCAACATTAAATAACAGAATCTACTTTTGAGTTCATTTTCACATTCTCTCTTACTAAAGAAAACTAAAGAAAAACGGTTGTTTCATTACCGAGTTCACTCGTCATTGATGTAAAAGACTCCTTCAACTCTTCCGTATATGCTAATACATCACTTTGAATTCCTCGCAGATATTCGCAAACGTTATTTCGGAATCTTTCGCCTTGGGCCTCGAGCGCTCGTTCCGTTTCGCTAGAAGCAAAAATAATGGTACAATTCATTTTACTTTGTAGAACTAACTATATAGCCTGCATTAGAACGGTTCACGAATTTCGATAAATACAAGTAATATAATCACTTTTTGGGAGGGTATAAAGATGAGAGGTAGAGAATAGAGGTGTCGAAATATTTCAATCTTCGGGTAGTTCGATGATCAAACCGAATCGAGACTCGGTTTCTGATCCGGTCCGAAAACTCGAGAGAACCGAATGGCACGAAAGAATCGAGTATACATATAGAACTTTCGTAGAATTTTATGAACATGTATTCGAATGATATTCATTTTCCTATAATTTATCATACCTTCTTCTT